CCCCAAAACCCCAAAACCCCAAAACCCCAAAACCCCAAAACCCCAGGAAGGGAATACTTAATTGAATAATATGGAAAATTTATCTGTTACTTGATGTCAAAAGTGGTGAATTTGGTATTGGCAAAGTTTATCTCATACTTAAGGAACACAGAGAGGAGTCAGTCTAAGATAAAAAAGAGAGTAAAGAAGAGTCCTTCTCTCTTTGTTAAAACAAGCTTATTCTTCCTTTGAAGCCTTTTCTGAGAAGCAGAAGAGATAACTATAGTGTAAAAATATCCCAAACCCTTTTAAAAAGATAAGAATCTACATCTTAAGAAGTAAATATATAGAGCTTTGGAGCAATGCAATATCCTATAGTCATAAGAAATTACCTTTGAGACCAATATCTATAAAGCAAAAAAATACTGGATGAAATCAAGAGGATTTATTGAACTAAATTATCAAAAATTACCAAAGCATCTACTATTCATGTGCCAATTGAAGATTGATAGTTTACTCACATACGAATATTACTTACAGATGGAGTCAAAAAAAAGTGACTGCACTGCAATAGTTTAGAAGCCCAATTAAAGCCATTTTTGCAATATTTTCTACCTGAAACTATATTGAAATTATTAATCACAGAAATATTAAATCTAATATCTCCTGCAGTTTTATGTCTGATTTAGCTAGAAAAATTCAATCAGAGGAAGACTGGAGAGCCTTTAATCTCTATCGAACACTTGATATTGCTAGGTTCCACAAAAGAGATAATCAATGAAAGAATTGAGAAATTTTAAACTATTTCATCTTGCTCTTTTATTTTTCTCATTTTGCTAGTATTGTGAGCTGTTTCTAATGATAAAAGCTAAGGTACATTACAATGAAAGAGATGGCAAGGTTTACAGAAGTAGGACTAAAAGGAAAATTTACCTCTTTGAGAAGCTTAAAGAAACAAAGTCATATCAAGTCATCAATACTTTCACAAAGGATCTTCAGGAATGTGTTAGAGTATTCATAGGATGCAAAGAAGATGAGATTAATGGCCATCATTAAATATATAGTTGCGATTAGGATATTTTCAATCATTTGAGATGTATATGGGGTTTTGGGGTTTTGGGGTTTTGGGG